TTGGAGGTTGGAAGGTTCTAGTATGTAAACCATATTCCAGTCTGATACGTGTGTAACAATAGGGTAATAAAAATGAAAACACTCCATGTGGCTAAAAGACAGTCTTCATTTTAGAACCCTTAGTGTTTTATTTAGAGGTTGTTGGTCAGATTCAGGCAAGGCCAGAATGATTTTAAGTAATGGTGCTTTGTGAAGTGCATAAACCATTTGTGAACTCAAGGGGAATATTAAATAAATTTCACTTGCCAAGAAGTTAATCAGTCCACCACAGATCCTTATGCAATGCAATTTATTAAACACCTGCCATATTAGAAGAGCTATAACCAGTCAGGTCATAAACGGAAATGGCAACACTGCCCTCAAGGTGCTTATAATCAGAAAAAAGTAAAAAGGATGGCAAGTAAAATTTACAAAGGCCTCCCATTTTACAATATTTTACATGCATTTACAAAAGATGCTTCAAGCATAATAACTTACATGCAACACAGTCACCATCAACCAAAAAACAGATATATTTATGTACATGATCAGCCATAGGCATTTGTGTGTGCACATGAGTGAGTGCATGAACATGGAGAAGCGGGGCACTTGCCTTTAGCTGGACTAGCTTTAGAAAGGAGTTGAACTTGAAACACATTTCTGAAGGATTGGTAGGAAGCAAGGAAGACAGTTTGTAATTAAGAGACAGAATTCTGAATGATATGTTTGGAAAATAAGTACTATGTCAAATTGTAGTAATCAAGTAATGGAGTAATTAACTGTTAGCTTTCCAATTCAAAGTATCAACTTGTTTTTAAACTAATTGGGAATAGTTAGAAGGATTTGAGCAGAGAAGTGATTGCAAATAAAAATTTTCTTGAAGAAGTCTCTTCTGTCTTCTATTTGTAGGACAAATGATTAAAAAGAAGCAGGCCAGTCTCACAGCTTGAAGGTATGAGGAAGACTGATCTTTCTAACCACATTGTACAGTTCTGGACATGTCCCAAGAGATAGGTTCAGTTTTTCTTAAAATCAACTTTATTAAGGTATAGTTTGTATGTAATAAAGTGTTTCTGTTTTAGATACACAGTTTATTTTTTTTAGCATTATTGAGGTGTAATTATCAAAATCATATATGTATTTCATGTGTACAGTGCCATAATTGGTTATATGTATACACTGTGAAATGATTACCATCACGTTAATTAGAACATCCATCACCTCACATAGTTACCATTGTTTGAGAACACTTAAGATCTACTCTTAGAAAATTTCAAATATGTAATAAAGCTTTAGTTATTCATGACCTCTCTGCCTATTACCTCATTAAGAAAAATAGTACAACTGATTATTATAAAAATTATAAAATAATAGAAATATGGCATATAGTAGATACTCAAATGACTAAGCTTAATATGAATCTAAAATATAAATCAAATTATAATTATAGTATATTAATACACAGCCTCAAAAATAAAGTAGTCTAAAAATAAATATTTAGTTTTACAATAAGGATATTCTGAGAAAATTAACAAAATCTTAATCTGCAAAAACCATGTATTTATGTTATCCCACATTCAGAAAAAAACCTTCTTTATATAATTCAATTTATGCCCTATTAGAATAAATCTATAGTTCATCCAAGAGATTTTTGAAAGTGTTTTTTCTAAAGTAATTTTATTGCTGAGAAAATCCATAAGGCTGTGAACAAAATCGTTTTGAACAAAGTGTTCGGTGTTTCTCTTCAACCAGGTAAATGGACATTTTAATGCAATCTCAGCCTTCTAGTCTAATTTGTCTAATGTAGAACATTGTTTTAACTAACTTTAATCTGATGGTTCTTTGGGCTTAAGGATTTGGGCTATTTTACATATATATTTATGTTTGCGATATATAAATAAACAAGGAAAGTTATTTGTATGGCCATTCCATTGTAGTACCAACTTCCATGCCAGGCAGTTTTTTCTTTAAAATTTAACTTCCCGGCAGGGCGCAGTGGCTCACACCTGAAATCCCAGCACTTTGGGAGGCCGAGGTGGGCAGATCACGAGGTCAGGAGATCAAGACTATCCTGGCCAACGTGATAAAACCCCGTCTCTACTAAAAATACAAAAATTAACTGGGCGTGGTCATGAGCACCTGTAGACCCAGCTACTTGGGAGGCTGAGGCAGGAGACTCACTTGAACTAGGGAGTCGGAGGTTGCAGTGAGCCAAGATTATGCCACTGCATTCCAGCCTCGTGACAGAGTGAGACTCCATCCCCCCAAAAAAAGAAAAAAAATTTAGTTTCCCTCCTTATCTGTTCTGGATCTCTGGCAGAGTTAACCTACCTTCAAGAGTTGCTATATTTAATGAGGTTAAGAAAGCAGACTACACAGAGCAAATACTTAGCAAGTAACTTACCCCTTCCTTTTCTTTTCATTCTTGATTTGTAGTTACATCAGTCCAAGCGTGAGTAGATTCAAATCTGAAATAACCAGCAATGATAACATTCACTTGCATTTACCTAACACTGCACAGTGCAAATGCTTCCAGGTTTATTATGTTATGTGGTACGGACAGAGCAGCTGTTTCTATTACCATTACACAGATTATTCTGAATTTAGAGCAGTTTGGTTAGAGACTATATATAACAGAATTAATAAATGTTATGGTTAGACTGAACCCTTGATGTCTCCGCTCTCGGGGCCGGGCTCTCTACCATTCCATACTGCTGTTGGTAGAGGCAGGGCCTTGGGGAGAGCAAGACAAGTAGATAAATGAAGGCCAATTCATGCTAGGGGGTCAGTTTGAAGCCTTGGGATAAGCCAATGCTCATTTTTATGTGTCAACATACATACTAAGTTTTCATTATACATTTTTTAAAATACAGGCGCTTGAGGTAGAATTAGAAGTAGAGCCATGTGTAGGCAAATGGCAAATATTAGGGGTTTGAGAAAATACTGAATTTAATTTTGGTAGAAAATAGCAAGTTTCTACGTCCGTTTAAGAGGTTAGAACACATTTCTATTAATTAACACAGAGCTTTCAATACTTTGTGTTTAGGGCATATCGTCTAAATGTATTTGGTTTATTTGTTGATTTGGAATATATTCACATTTTTCCAATTTTAAAAATATAAGAGTATCTACAGCAGAAAGTTTATCTCCCAGATCTCTTATCCTGAACACATAGTTACCCTCCTATATCAACCATGGTTCGACAAACAAGCAGTAGGAGTTAGGAATATATATTTACATGCCTGCCTGCCTATCTGTCTGTCTGTCTATCTATCTATCTATCTATCGATCTATCTATCGGCTTACATGATTGTGGGGTCTGGCTAAGTAAGTCCAAAATCTGCAGGGCAGCCATTCAGGAAGAGTGAGATTATGGGCAGTCTTAAACCCACAAGCGCAGGCTGGAGCTGTTAGGCTGTACAGCAAGGTAGTCAGGAAAGGAAGATCCCAAGCCAGAGGGAACTCCACAGTCACAGGTAGAGGTTGTTGTCCACAGGCAGGAGATCTCCTTTTCTCAGAAAATCTCTCTGCATTTTTGCCTTCCAGTGAATTCAGTCAGGCCCATGCAGAATATCCAGGATAATCTCTCTTACTTAAGATTAACTGATTAGGAGTTTTATTTACATCCGAAAAATACCTTTCCTGCAACATCTAGTTGAGTGCTTGATTGAACAACTGGAGACCTTACGTAGCCTAGCCAAGTTGACACATCAATAAAACCAACACACCTTCCTAAAATCTAATAATGTTATCAGTGTCTTATGTAGTTTTTGGAGGGTCAAAAGCAGTCTTTAGTTATCAGAGATTATAAAACATGGTAACATTATTTCTTTTAGTATTTATACAGCTTAATTTACCACATTCAACTCTTTGATCCATTTGAAATTTACATTTGTATAAGATATGAGGTATGTAACCAAAAATATTTTATCCTAAATGGCTATTTATCTTTCTCAACACAATTTCTTAAATAATCCATTTTTTTCCTTTAGTGATTAAATTGCAACCTTTGGGGTACAATTTCCTAAATGTATTTGGGCTAATTCCTGGACATTCTGTTCTTTTCATATTATCTGTTTATTTCTTCCTGTATTATTATCTCACTCATCTAACTATTATTGCTTTTGAATATGTTTTAAAATGTGGTAGTACTAGGGTCTCCCAGCATTTATTTTATTTTAATCCTTTGTTTTTATTTTTCCATACATATGCCAAAAGCAGTTTGTCTAGTAGGAAGCAGAAACATCTTCCTAATATTTCATAGAAGTAGCGTTAAATGTATTGGTTACTTTAAATTTTTTTGGTTTTCCTTTTATAAAATTTTATTTTTTCCAGCCTCCCTTACATAATTTAGTAGTATTTTAAAGTTTGCCTTCTATAGATATTGTACATTTCTTGTAAGCTTATCACTAGACAAGTTTTAAAACATTTTTATTGTTTCAGTTACTCATTGTTGTGAAAAAGGAATTTTTTCCATTTTATCTTCTAAACTGTTGTGTGTCTTTATGAAAGATGTAGATTTCAGATTGTCCTTGCCAATTTACTGAATTCCCTAGAACTTCAATCTCTTAAATATTCAATGTATGCAAGCATACCAGTGTAGCTAATTCTATATTTGATCTTGTATATCTAATTTTTGTGCTTCTAATTATTTTCCTAGTTGAACTCTAATGCTGATATTTCTTATATAGTGTTAAATGATTGTGAGCTAGTAGGCATCTTTGTCTTAATTTTTACTTTACTGAGGATCTTCTTGGTATTTCTGTGTTAAGCCTGAAATACAGGGGTGTTTATGTGTATGTGTATACATATGCACATGTATAGACACACACTTGCAAACTTACAGGAAATTATTAAAGATTATTTATTTTACCAAATCTTTTTTTAGCATTTTTATAATTGTGTGATTTTTCTCTTTAGATCTACTTGTATGTTGAATTATATTAATAGATCTTTTAATATGGAAACATCTTACTTTTTGGAAATAAACATCCTTGACATCTTTCAATATATGTTGCATTTTGTTTTGTTTTTTCCTGAGTTAGTCATTTTCAAGAGAACTGATGGTGTAGCTCTACCCTGAAGGTTGGCATTCTTGGAACCCTGGAAGAATTGATGTTTTAGCTCAATTCCAAAGGCAGGAAAATAAAAAGCTGATGTCCCAGTTTGAAGGTCATTGGGCAGGAGGAAATCTTTCTTACTCAGAGAAGTTCCAGCTTTTTGTTCTATTCAATCCTTCAACTGATTGGATGAAGCTCATTCACATTAGGAAGGATAACTGCTTTATGTAGTTAATTTTATCCAAAAATGCCCTCACAGAAACAACCAAATGTTTGACCAAAGGTCTGAGTGCCCCATGACCCAGTCCAACTGACACATAAAAGTGACCATGACGAGCCAAGAGTTTTTGCTGTTTTCATGTTGATTTTTCATGACAAGAGGAGAAGCTGTGTGAATGCTTATTTTGTTTTTTCTCTTTTTCTTCGTGAGTTTCCAACCTCTTTTCTAAATACATAGTGATCTAGCTAGACTTTGAAAAGTATAGGTTTAAAGGGATGGCAAATTATTAGTTTGTCCTGAGTGCCCACGGATCTTGGTCTGGCCCTGTTCCTAAGGTTTGTGCATGAGGCTATCTGCAGCTTGAGGAAGCGAAAGCTCCCTTTCCTTCCAGAGAGAGCCACCCTATGTGGGAACCTGAGGTTTTGTTCACAGGACCTCACTGTGGAACTCATCCTTAAAACAGTGGGTTGGGATTTCTGAGACTACTTAATAGTATGGTAGTGCATGAAGTTTCTCCTTTTGGGGTGTGGTATGTAGAAGTTGTGGCGACATTTTTTGCTGATTTTATATGGTGAACCAACATGTGAGTCAATAAATAGATTTTTATAATTCACTTAGTATTTTCATAATAATGAGTGCCCAAAGGTCAGATTGAAGAAGCCACATCCTGCCTTTATAAAAACAAAATATCCGAGGAAGGATGTTGCCAGTTGACATGTCATCTGTAGAGTATATTAAAGACTGGATTGTTTAGAACCTGAATGAATAAAATGTCAAAGAATAGGCAAAAGAAGTGTTGGTGCTGGTCCAAAGCAAAATAATCTAAATTTAATGAAGTCTTAAGACTATATGCCTGTCATTAGTTTTTATTATCCTTTTTATTTCTTCTTCTTTTTTTTTTTTTTAAGATGGAGTCTGGCTCTGTCACCCAGGCCACAGTGCAGTGGTGTGATCTTGGCTCACTGCAACCTCCACCTCTAGGGTTCAAGCAATTCTCCTGCCTCAGCCTCCTGAGTATATGTGATTACAGGCATATGCCACCATACCCAGCTAATTTTTGTATTTTTTAGTAGAGACAGGGTTTCACCATGTTGACCAGGCTGGTCCTGAGTTCCTGACCTCAGGTGATATGCCCACCTCAGCCTCCCAAAGTGCTGGGATTATAGGCATGAGCCACTGTGCTTTTAGAAAGAGCAATGTATAAGATCCTATTGGAAAATTCAAGAGAAATGTTAAAGAAAATCTATGTGTCTGCAGAACTTACAGTTCAATGTGATTAAAGGATAAAGGATGAATGTGTGAAGACTGAAAAGACAAGTTCTGGCTATTCCTTTGAGGGTCTCATTTGTGAAGCTAAGGCATGTGAACCTTCCCTCTGGTGTTAAGGACCCATCAAGATCGTTAAGTAAGTGACACAATTGGTGCATTTTTTGAAAAATGTCACTGATAATAATGACAGATAAAGGCTTTTAAAATAAATTTTAGAAGTCCTAAACATTGAGAAGATTCTGGGGGCACCTTTTATACAATTTAAAATAATATACAAAGCATACACAAATGTTGAAATTAAAATAACACATAATTTATATAACTGCTTTCCAGAGCTTCAGATTTCAAATTTCTATATACATTCATTGAACCTAAGCTTTTCTCGTATTTTACCTGTATTTGCTATACTGACACTTGAAGAATATGGTTTTCTTGCCCACCAGCTAGGTGAGCCAGGCATTCTATGAGCATCTAAACTAAGTCAATGACAGGGGAGATCCACGGACAGTGGAGAGAGTAGGAGGTGGGGTTTAGAGAACTTGGAGACTGAATGGCAGAGGTCAGAGATTTGATCATTTCTGACTTAGAATCATGGGCATATTCAAATAAAAACATTATAGGAGAAAGCAAATACTTGGAAGGAAAAGCTAAGTCTAAAATGTCAATTAATTCTTATTGCCTCACATGGAAGTGGTTTGCAAATAAGTTTTCTGGTAGTAGAATAGTGATTTTTCTAAATTTATATGGACTAAAGTAATTTTTTGAAAAGTAGAAATTTAAATAACTTCTAGAACCTAGCACAAACTTGAGATTCAGGATAAAAATTTTACCTTTTTATTATCTAGAAGGTCTTTTGATGATAGAGACCTGTCTAGTTGTTTGACAAAAACCTAGCATTCATTACCAAATTGCATGCATTATAATTTTAGCCAATTGTCTATTATCGTTCAGGGCTATGGATGACTTCTATTTTTCCAGCCAAAGCCAATGATAAATGTGGGTAGATAACTAAAAAGTAATTAAAGAAAATAAACAGTTTCAGGGTCCTAAAGAATTTATACCTGCTACAGAATTCTGAAATCCTTTCCCTTTTTTGACAGTTGTTGCTTTGACATAAACAAACACGAAAAATCTTTGTGCAGTCCTGTCCTTTGCTATGGTATATGAAAGCATGCAATCCATTATTTATGTACTAGTGTTTTCTATACTTTGTGTACTAATACTTCTTTGGCCTGAAATTATAAAGGAAAATGCCAGCATTAAATAAAATAATTAAGTAATAATTATTCTTGCCTTATTGCTGATCATAGTATGCTTCAGAATGTTGTTAATGAATATTAGCAAAAGTAAAAGAAGATATTCATACTGTTTTAGGATGAGTTCTGACATAGAAATGTAGCTTTTCTCTTTTCCTCCTTCTCCTCCTTCTCTTTCTCCTCTTTCCCCTCTTTATCATCTGTTCTTTCTCCCCTCCCTTGGGTATTGCATACAAAGATAGAAAGGCAAATGGAGTTTACTTCTTAGTTTCTTATAGTTGGCAATCTGGCTGTCTCCTGATGTAGCCTTTCTTTCTGCTTTGGGAAAATATCAGCATGAAGAGGGTGACCCTGTGCACTTGTTTTAGATGAAGGTAAACAGAAGACGATATTACTTGCCTGAATGGAGTAGACTATCCCATGGAGGAGAATAATAGCTGTCTTCTCGTTTTTGTTTTTCTAAAAAGACCAGTGAAGACTTAAAAGGAGAAAGAACTGGAGAGGAGGGTGAAAGATGATTACCTTAAGGATTAGAGCTGTTACCCTGGTGAAGTCTGCAAATACTGTTTCTAAGCAATAGGCTGAATGTCTCTTAAGTGAAATGAATTACGACCAAGGGATTAGCAGTAAATCTTTACAAGAAAATATCTCTCAGTTAGTTATTCATTATGATAGTATGATTTCAATAAGAATGGATATTGTTTCAGTCATTAACCATGCTCATATAAATATTATTTTAAAAGATGAGTAGAAATCCGTCAGTTTTTGAAAAAGTTCAAATTTCTGGTTTCTTCACAAATTCAGCTATGCTAGCTAAAATGAAACCATCAACATTGAATCTTTTAATTTAAAAAAATGCATTTTTTCCTGTCCTTTTAAGTGACTTTACAAATAGAAATATTTTAAGCATTTATGTAACATATACTAGATATAGGAGGTTTTATAGATGCCTTGTACAATGCTGTAATACTCTTGGCATTTTTTATTTTTAAAAAGTAATCAAAAACACATTGTGAGCTCAAGAAATAGTATATATGCTTCAGGTTAACATGGTAATGGCTCTGGCCTTTAACCCTGATGCAACTGTTCTATCCTAACAGCTCTTTGTGAAAAGACACCAAATACTGAAGAAATTGGAAAGGTTAACAAAGTTAGCGGACAAAATAAACTTGATACTGAGAGTGAACTTTCACATGCAGCAAAAAAATAAACAGTATTCTCTTAGGCTGGTCTTCAAAGGATGTTTAAGATGCCTATATGCTTCTTAGTCTAAGTTCATCCTCTCTTTTGAGAAGAATTATTTATACAAAGGGTTACCGAATTCATAGTGAGTCAATGATTGCAAATTCATAAGAACTAATAATGTATGGGATCATTTGAAAACAATTGATGACTGGCCACCACTGGGGTGGCAATAATACCTAAGAACTTGAAATTTTTCAAGTCATTTTCATGGCATCTGAATGTAAAAGGTATTCTCAACCTCCCTATGTAGACCTCAGTGAATTGTTTTCTTCGTAATTTACAGAATTTGGGTCCAAAATTTAACCTGAATTCTTGGCTGCTGCAAAGTAATATGAAGCCTGACTTCTGTTACTGACACATTTTTAAAGTTCACAGCTTAGGCTGACTCTACAATGGGAATTACATATCAGATTACTTTTCTCTTGTAGAAATAGTAAAGAACTGTTACTATAAAGCTCTTTGTGTGATCAGCTAAACACAGCGTGGAAAAACCATTACAAATACACTGAAAAGGTACAGGTATTTTTTTTACTAGTTTCTGCATGTCATCTAAATAGTTTAATTGGTATTTTCTAAAAGCCACACATCACCTTAAAGATGCAGAGATGGTTTCTCTCTACTGCACACAAGTGCCCCTTAAAAGAAACATCCCAAAACAAAACTCACCAAAGCAGTCTGAATGTTGTTGTTGTTGTTGTTATTATTATTATTATTATTATTATTATTTGGTAATGAGAAGTACAGGTTAGGGGATCTCTCCCTATCAAGGAAATAATGTTTACATGAAAGATAAAGGAAAGGACAGACAAGAATGGTCATATCTGGTTTTGCATTTAAAAATCTAATCCTTGATGGCTTAAAAAAATAAAATTTCAGGTGGTCTTATTTTTTAACTCAACAAAGTTCCAGTTGTTATACAACTCATCTTATTAATTTATTGTTGGATTCTGAAAAAGCTTCTCCATTTTGCCAGTCTTCCAAAGTATTGGTTGATGTGGCTAGCAGTCTTTCAGAAAACACCAGGATTAACAGTGTATTTGCACACCTGCAAAGCTCATTTAATGACTGAAATTGCAAATGCTGCACAAGTAAAACAAAAAAATTTACGTTTGAAGTGATTTTAGTGACCGCAGCTATATAACACTATTCATAAAACCAAACACGCATGTCTATATATTATGTATTTCAAAATGTAGTTCTGATTGATTGTTATCCCTTGTCAAATATTTTGATTTGCTGGAAGAAATGACAAAAATCCTTAAGAAAAATGGGCAAATTTATAAGGAAATACTTAAACAGCAAAAGCATTAAGAAAAAACCCTACTAACCTTGGGAGTCCTAAAGTCAAGGAACAAATGAAAGGAGACAAGAACAAAGAGGAACAACATGGCTGGTTATTTTTCTAAGGACTTGCATTCTGATGCATTACTGTGAGTACTTAGAGCACACAAATTAACAACTCTGGAGGTATTCTCTGGATGCTTACCTACCTTTCAGATGTGTGCATTTTTTTTCAATCCAGCATTTGATTGTTAAGTTTTCCTCAAGAAATTCTCATTTTGATAATTTCTAGCTTTCTTAAAAATACTCATTTTACATAAAATCATTTTAACTGAGGGCTGAACTTTCACCCTGGCTTAGTATGGTGACCTAACTGAGGTTGAGAGGGATTATATATTCAGGATTGAAATTATAAGCAGAGCAATAGATATCATATAGAAATTCTACCCATGCTTCACTTCTGAAGTCCATAGCAGACATATCTAATTGATTAGGCAACTAGATATAGCTTGAGAATCTTCTTCAAGTCCTTGTTCAAGACATCTACTGTTAAGTTCTTAGTTCAAATGATGAAATCTATTTGGCATTCCACATTAGATTTATATTTCAAGCTTTAATATCTACTTTTTCTCTTTTCTTCAGTGGAGGTGATCAAATCATTTACTGTTTCACTGGCATAAGAACCAACCCTTGAGAAGACTATACAGAGGTACAGTGCAACTTTTTCTTCTAAAGGTATTGAACTGTAATAAACATATTATGACTAAAAGAGACTTTAACAAAATTTCCCTAAAGGATTATAATAATTTATGTATGTATGTATATATTTAGAGATCAGGAGTTGTTGTGTCATCCAGGCTAGAGTGCAGTGCAGTGGCACAGTTTTGGCTCACTGCAGCCTTGACCTCCCAGGCTCAAGCAATCCTCCCACCTTAGCCTCCCAAGTAGCTGGGACCACAGGTGCTTACCACCAAGCCCAGCTAATTTAAAAAAAAAATTTTTTTTTTTGTAGAGACAGGGTTTCCTTATGTTTCCCAGGCTGGTCTCGAACCCTGGACTCAAGTGTGCCTGCCTTAGCCTCCCAAAATGCTGGAATTACAGGCATGAGCCACCATGAGCCACCATGCCTGGCCAATAATCTATTTTATTTCTAAATCTCCATTGTTCATTCTTTGTTCATTCTCACAAAATGAGTTAACCATATTATTAAGTTAATCCAAAGTGGAATTTTTAAAGAAGTTAAATTTTGTTTGTGAAAGTGATTATACTCCATCTATCAATATTTTACGATGGGTACAGGAAAAGAAGAAATGACATTTGCTCCGAAATAGATAAGCTTGATGCTATTGATTTTAAAATAAAAATTATCCTTAAAAACCTTAAAAATCACAGCTTGCTGGTTGTTACTAACTAATGCACTCACTGCTCTCTTTGTATATGTATTTTCAAAATGTAAAGAATTTGCTACTTTCAGCTTTATTTGAAAGTTATTTTCAAATCAGAAAACTTGCTGGTTTTGTAAATTTTCAGTATAAGAGGATGGGTACTAAGTTATAGTTAGAGGCTTTAAATAAGCGGAGATTCCCATTGTGAGTGGGCGTAAGGGCACATCTGCAAATTGTAGTCCAGATTCAACTTCAGTCTGTGTTTTCCTCAGTGTGACTCATTCAGTCATCACCCGGGCTGTGTGATTACTGACTTCCAAGTATGTGAAACACTCAAACAGTTGGGATTCCTTTTGGAGCATATACAAACATCTTAAATCTTCCAATTCAGATTATGTGGTTAAGCATAAGACCGTTATGAAGGCAGGGGAAAAAGCCGAAGGCTGTTTGTGGCTACAGGGTGTGGTGTTGTGGGGTTAGTGGCAGAGATCTGTGGTGTTAGTTAATACAGGAAGAAAGATACTCAAGTTACATGCAGTGTAATATACCAAACTTGCAAATTCTCTCTCTCTCCCTTTCTATCTTTTAGGAGTAGTTGCCAGCAACCTTGCTGCCAACTTAGCCCAAGGCATGTAACCTTAGGTACATGAGAAAACCCATTTCTCTGCAGTTTTTTATCCTTATCAAACTCACCTAAAGTCTAATGAAAAACTCCTTCTGATTATAGGTATTTGTTTCAATTCGTTCTATAGAAACTGCAGCCTCTGCTCATTTCTTCTTCCCAAAATTCTTGAAATCTTTAAACACTTCGCCAAAAATTGTCATGGAAGGAAACCTTTCATCACTTCTTTTATTATTGTCTTCGTTTTTTAATTATTTGGATGTTAAAAATTGAGATATAATTTACATACCATTAAATTCACTATTTTAAAGTGTACACATCAGTGTATTTACAGAGTTGTGCAACCATTATCATTATCTCCTTCCAGAACATGCTCATCATCCAGAAAAGAAACCCCATACCTGTTAGCCATCACTTCCCATTCTTCTCTTTTTGTAGCTCCTGGCAACTACTGATCTGTTTTCTGTCTTTATGGATTTGGCTATTCTGGACATTTCATATAATTGGAAATAAAATATGTGGCTATTTGTGACTGGCTTATTTCAGCAGGCATAATATTTTCAAGATTCACCTATGGGTGAATAATATTCTATTTGATGGATATACCACATTTTATTTATCCATTTATTGTTTGATGGACATCTGATTAAGAAATGGTTTCCCTCTTCTTTTCTTCTTTTCTTATTTCTCTCTTGTTTTGCTTTATATTATTCTAGTTTTTGTTAACTTTGTGATATTTGTTATAGGTTATTCGATTCCACATATGGAAAATCCTAGTCTTGCTTTCTGAACAAAAGCTTCTCAGACTTTAATGTGCATACAAACACATAGGGCACTTTTTAAAATGCCTACACTAGGGCCAGGCGCGGTGGCTCAAGCCTGTAATCCCAGCACTTTGGGAGGCCGAGGCGGGTGGATCACGAGGTCAAGAGATCGAGACCATCCTGGTCAACATGGTGAAACCCCGTCTCTACTAAAAATACAAAAAATTAGCTGGGCATGGTGGTGTGTGCCTGTAATCCCAGCTACTCAGGAGGCTGAGGCAGGAGAATTGCCTGAACCCAGGAGGCGGAGGTTGCGGTGAGCCGAGATCGCACCATTGCACTTCAGCCTGGGTAACAAGAGCGGAATTCCGTCTCAAAAAAAAAAAAAAAATGCCTACACTTTAATAAGACACAATATGAAGCCTGTGATTCTGCACTTCTAACAAGTTCCAAGGCAAAACTGGTCGTACTGATTTGCATCTTACCCGTTGGGCAGCAAGAATTCCAACCATACATTCTGTTGGAAAAAAATGTTGTAAGCATCTTTGTTAATGCCAGGCACACTTGTAGATGCCTTCACAAATTTTATCTAAAGATTGTATTAATAGCTATTGAGTACCTGACAGAGACTATATAGCCCACAAAGCCTAAATATGGACTATTGAGTTCTTTATAGGAAAAATTTGCTGACCCATGGTTTAAAGACATACTAGATTGTGATTTAAATCAATTTAAATCAATCTACATAGGCAAATCTGTATACAGCATAAAAAGTTAGGGATTATAACTGCAGTAATTTAGCACTGTTGATGATCAAGAACATTTCATATGTACCACTTTTTCATGATGATACAACTGAAAAATAAAAGTGAAGTCAATATTTTCAGCCACTTGAACATGTAAAGTTTGGTTTGAATCCAACTCTGTAAATTCTGTGGATGTACCCAAGCAGCTGACTGTAGGAGGCTGGAAAAAAAGACAAAAATAGTCACATTTTAATTTTATGATTACCAAACTCAACTGGACCGTTAATGAATTACAGCAAATAATTCCCTAATCCACTTCCATTCCTACCCTCCTAGATGATTCTCCATGGTTTTTCTTCTCCAGGCAAACTCCCAACACCTTGCCTCCCATTCTCAATCTTAACTGATGACCTCTTCTTTTCTACTAAGAAAATAAAACCTATCAGAAGCAAATTTCTGTTTGTTCCACCGCTGTGTCCTTCTCCGCCTGCCTCTTGGCCTCTACTCCGGTTTTCCTGTTTCACTAGAGAAATTCCTTCTGCTCTTGACAAAGGCCAAATTCTTTACTTTGCACTATATCCCAACCCCTCTGACTTGCTCCAGAACATCATGACAACCCTTCTGTTTTGCTCCTGTATCATCAAGTTTAGCCTTTCTACTAAACTTTTTCTGTCATCATACAAACATGTTTTATGTTTTTATCTTAAAAAAAACCCTAAAATTTCTTGACACATCTCTCTTTGAACATCTCTTTCTCTCCTTACTTTGATAGCAAATGTACTTGAAAGTGCTTTTTGTAGCCTACAGCTTTCCTCCATTCTTTCTCTATTCTACCGTAACCAAGCTTGTATTCCCCACTTCCCCTGAAACTGCTCTTATCAAGGCTTCCAGTGACCTTGTCATTAAAATTTCGAATGGTCATTCTCATTGTCGTGAAACACTCCTTTTATAACGTGTATATCTCTGGGTATCGAAGACCCACATTCTTCTTGTTTTCAATTACTGTAGTCATTTTCTCTTTACTCTCTTTTGTTATTTCCTTCTCATCTCTGAAGCCTAATCATGGGTCCTCATCCTTTCTCTAGCTACACTGAATCCCTTAGTAAATCATTGCGAAGGGATATATGACCACATATATGCCTATGTCTTCAGGATTTGTATATCCATCCTAAACTTCTCTCCTGAACTCTGAAATCTTAAATCATGCTACCCCCACACCATCTTCCTTTGGATGTAAAATGGGCATCTCTCAAAATTAATGTGCCTACATCTAAATTGCTGGCATTTTCCATCACTTGAAATCATCTTCTCCTTCTGTCTTACTCATCTCGGCCAATGGCAATTTTATTTTTACAGTTGCTTAGATCAAAACTATTGGGATCATTCCCGATTCCTCTTTCTTTCATACTTCATATCAAATCCATCGAAACATCTTGTCAGCACTTCGTTTAAAATATATCTGAAACCCAATCACATTTCTTCATTTCTTCAGCCACCATCCTAGTCCAATCCACCATCGTCTCTAGCCTGGATTATTGTAATAGCCTCGTCATGGGTTTCCCTGCTTTCTGCTCTTGACTTCCTTTCCTGTTTTCACTAGAGCAGCCAGCGATTCCTAGAATACCACATCACTTTGTACATTCTCCAGTAACTCTCCATTTCACCAATGTGTTTACAGTGGACCACAAGGAACTATAAACTATTTCTATGATTTTATCCCCTACCCTTCTCTCCTTGCTTGTTCTGTTTCAGCAAGAAACAGAACAAGTTTCTTGGCCTCTGCTTTTTTCACAAACCTGCCAGATACATTTTATGTCTTGAAGCCTTCCTACTTTCAGCTGGGTTCCCCTGGAGAAACCCCAGATTTCCACATGGCTTATTCCTTTGTTGTCTTCATTGTCTTCAGGTCTTGATTCCTTCTCTTTTAGGCCATCCTCCCTCATCTCTCTTCTTTGATTTAGTATTCTCCAAAACACTTATGCACCCCAAACAGACAGTATCTACTTACTCTGGTTATTGAGTCTGTTGTCTTAAAACATAAGCTCAGTAGAGTAGAGATTTCTATATTTTCTTTACTGTTATATTCCCAACTCTTGCGTCAGGCACATAGTAGGTGTCAATACTATGTGTTGAATGATTTTCAAACTAAGTAAACATTGGTTTTGTTCCTGTGAGCATACACCTAAAGGCTTAAAATCTTCAACTTCTAGACAGGAGTTCCTCTGTCTAAAGCCATTTCAAGTCAATGTTATCTCTCCTCAAAGGGTGAT